TTTCTAGGAGGCCGTGTGTTTTCTCTCTGCCATCAACGTATTGTCGTCAGTGTGTATCTTATGATGTCAAGTCCACGCCCACTGATATGTTGGTCAATCTCTTGTAAGCAGGTGAGAAAATAAAATATTTGTGAAGCTGTTGTTGATATTCAGCGTTGGTGTAACAGTCAGGTTTTAGTCCGTTCAGATTACATTCAATTTCAGATGTCCTGAGGTTTAACACTTAGCGGAAGACGGACAAATAAACGCACCTGACGCCATCTCGGTCTTCTATTCAGCTCTCGGTAACGTTTATACGATCTTACTCATTAACTTATGATAGAGAGATTGAAGTCTAATACACCAGTAACAGCTTCTGGAAGAGAAGCTCCTAAGCGACTCCTTAAAAGCAGGAACCTGAATGGATGTTCATTAACTTAAGGAAAGATCACTCTGACGCAATTCTCAGTAATTCTCGGGTTCATAATGTGTCAAAAAATCCACGAACTTCTTTCTTCTTTTCTTTGATTCTTCAGGACGATCATAAGCCTCTCCATTTTCCTGACCCTTGTAGCTGTTAATAAGTTACGTCTTCTTGTCATTCCTCCGAAATCTTGTATTACCATCCATTACACGAATACACCGTATATATATATATATATATATATATATTGAAACAAAGACCTGATACACTGAACTGGAATATTGATTTAAATAAACATAATTTTATGTTCATTTTTTTTTAAATATCCGGACCTAGGCTGCCTTTCGGCCAACGCATCATTAGGGACCGATCGTTGGCAAGTTTTAACTCATTTCGATTGATAAGAGATAGTACTGGAACACGTTTAAAATTACGAAATACGTAAAATTAAGAAAAAAACAAAACACACACAAATAAATAAATTTACCATTAAAATACGTAAATAAATAAAAAAAAGATTTTTATCCAGTGGAAAAATAAAAGAAAAAAAATAAAGCTAAAAATTCAAGGATCTTAATATATATATATATATATATATATATATATATATATATATATATATAATTAAAGAAAGATAGTTTTAAGGTGTGCTATATTTATGGGAGAAAGTGCTCAATATCAGAGATAGATCGTATGTAAATATAAAAAGAATAGAAGTCAAAACTCAGAGGCGACAGACTGTTTTATGCTAGACGCAGTCATCAGGTCACGACGATTGCGTCTAGCATGAAACAGACTGTCGTCTCTGAGTTTTGACTTCAAAGTTCACATATATATATATATATATATATATATATATATACATATATGATAGCAGTTTTCAATCTGAATCTTTTTGTCTGAAGCGTCTTCAAGAAGCGAGAGCAAGATCTAAAAGGTCAGCCAATCTAACAGTGATCCCATCCCACAATCATCACTCTTGCTTCATATGTGGTGTCATTTGTAAATCAGTAGCGGGTCTTAAGTGCCACTTAAGATTATCACACAAAATTTCATAACTGAATCAATTAAGCTGTCAGATCCTCATACGTCGAAACCAACGGGTGAGTTCATTATTGTATATATATATATATATATCTCAAAAGATTCACTAAAAAAATGAGTATACTTGAAGAAAAGATGCCCAAACCTTTGTTCTGTTTGTTTTATTCTCAAAATCTTTGACCAAAGGAGTGTTTGGTATAAAAAGTATGTTTAAATACTTTTTAGGACCAACATAATTTTGGTTAATTTTTTTTCTGTCGTTAGCATTGGAGCATATGGGAAATTTCAGCGTAAAAATCATACCGATTTAGAAATTCTTGTAAAATCCAGATGACTGTCGGATTTTAATTACACTTTCGGGACTTATTCACAAATGAATTCAATAATTTTTATAATGTTTCGTTTCTACAAAATTTCGGTAAAAGTACATTTGTTAAATCTATTACCCCCTACTTATTTAATTTTATTAAATTTCTAGAAATTCTTTTTTTATAGCGCTTAATATTCATATTAGTTAAAAGGACAAGTCATAGGAGAAATTAAATTATCAATTTTCTTTGATGAAGCAAGCATATCAATTACATAAAATCTGCTCTGAATCGTAATAAAACTAAACCATTATTGAATTAAAAAAGCTTTTAATTGCTTTAACGGTCAAAATGTATAATGAACACTATTGTCTTACGAAAAAGTTTGAATTGATTACCTTTTGTTGTTTGAATTTTAGTTAAACTAATTTAGTAACATTTAAATCTTTTAAAATTCAGTATTGAATTGTAGCGGTCAAGTGAAAGTATTATTAATAAAGACTGTATTTAGTAATCATAAATGAAAAAGGTGATTGCAATTTAGCGACAAAATTTTGAATATGTTTGTGCATGTATAAACGTTCCAATTTTTGTAACTACGGATTCCATACACGACATTATCGGAATATAAGAGTTTTATTTCTAGTAAATTTAAAATTTATTGGTATTTTTCTAACATTTCCCCAACAAGCACTTCGTAAATAAAACTATATAGACAGAGTCCTGTGACCCTACGCGTAAAATAAAACTAAATATGAAAATAAATTTTATAAGCGAAAAAAAAAGAAGAATTTACATTAAAATAAAGCATTTGCTTTCCTTTAAAACCTCTCTCTCTCTCTCTCTCTCTCTCTCTCAGTTGAGTAGAAGGCAATCATCAAATAAAAAAGAGGAAGAACAGATAGAAAACGGCAGTTTGAAGAACCATCATTGTGATTAAAAATCTACAAAAATAAGAGAGGCTCCACGCATAACTTCCGTTAGAAAAAAAATAAAAATAAAATAAAAGAATGGAATGGAGAATAATAAAATAATTTTGGCCAATCAAAAAAACAAAGAGATTTTTTTTTTATGTAAGCCGAAACCACTAGTCTGGATCCCCGTATAAACGAACAGCCCGCCGGAGGTAGAAGAGAAGGGACCGCCAGAGAAACAATCTATGCGTGTCGCGTGAAGAAGTTAAGCGGTCTTCTCCTTCATAGAGTCAACAAAACTCAGCAAATTGACACCGCACCTATTTCTAAGATGACAACTACAGATGTCATGTGGCTTCCGTCTGTCTTTTCTACAAACTTTCAAGCTACTTTCACTGGTACCCTAACTTCATGAATTTAAGCGTGCTACTAGTTTCGCATCTCAGTCCCACCCTTTCACTGTCGAAACAGTTAAATGTAACCGCCTCTTCTATTACAACAGCTTCCTGCACTTCTCGACAGTGGAACTCCCTTCCTCCTACTTGCTTCAACGATCTCTCTCTTGTTCTTGTAACGGCATTCACCCGAGGTGGGTTGAGCCGGCTCCAATATTGGAGTTTCATGGGAATTTGGAATTCACAAGCGGTCCCCAAACCCGCATGTAGAGCACATGAGATAGTGGTGAAGGTTTCGTGCAGGACCATCCACACTTTTTGAAGGGCCGAATACAGAGACCTCGTGCACTACGTGCCACAAGGTCCCCAAACGACCCTCCGAAGGTTTTGAATTCAGAGTTTTCCTTCTCCTACACCAGTTGCCATCTAAGGCTATAGAACCCAGTTTTTTCTGCTATTTACCCATAGCTGGAGCGAGAAAAGGATTCACACCTTTCCTAAGGGTATTAGCACGTAAGTGAATGTAATGGATTCGACTGGAATTCGAACTCGGCTCTTATATATATATATATATATATATATATATATATATATATATATTCTCTCGACTCTCCCGTCGATTTCGACGTATGAGGGTCAAGCATATCAGTTCCCAGGAAACCGACAGCCCGACAACAGCACATGAGATTTGATTATAGTGGTGAAGGTTTCGTTCAGGACCAGCCACACTTTTTGAAGGGCCGAATACAGAGACCTTGTGCACTACGTGCCACAGGGTCTCCAAACGACACTCCGTAGGTTTTGAATTCAGAGTTGTCCTTCTCCTAGACCAGTTGCCATCCAAGGCTATAGAACCCAGTCTGTTCTGCTATTTTACCCATAGCTGGAGGGAGAAGAAGAGGATTCATGCCTTTCCCAATGGTATTAGCACGTAAGTGAATGTAATGGATTCGACTCGACTCTCCGATTCCTCAATCCAAGCCGCTATCCATTACTCCACCGTGCCTCCTCTACTTGCTTCCCTGATAGCTATAATCTTCAAATATTCAAGTGTAATGTCAATCGACATCTTCAGATGCCTTGATTCTGATCCCCGTCCTACAGTATATCCTTTCCACAAACCCCTCCTTTTATTCTTGCTCTCCCTTTCTGTAACCACTTGCGTGCTAGTAGCACCCCGCCCCACCTTGCTTGGGGTCAAATGCTTAAAATAAAAAAAAAAAACGGTCTGGCAACTTAACTATCTAGAACAGACTTTCTCCGGACTGTTACCAAGATCTGACTTATAAACGCATTTTCATTTCTCCAAATTACAAAGGACTCTATTCAATGTAAATAAAATATAAATAATATATATATATATATATATATATATATATATATATATATATATATATATATATATATATATATATATATATATATCACTGTATAATCCCATATATCTGGAATCCCTCATATCCGGAGTGCCTCATATCTGGAGAATCCTTATATCCGGAATACCGCATATCCGGACATAATTAGCAGATTGACACCGCACCTACTTCTAAGATAGCAACTACTACCAAGTTCTGGCAACTTAACTATCGACTACCGAAATGAAACAGACTTTCTACCGGCTGCTAGCAAGACCTGACTTATAAACGAACTTTCACTACACCGGGTTACAAAGGACGCTATTCAATCTAAATTAAATAAATAAATATATATTATTTATTTTATAGCTTTGTGTCCGTTTCATTTCTGAAGTTCTAATAAAATAATCAGAAGAATATCTGACACTTGTCCACAAGAGGACCTAAAATTGGCTAAAACATTAGAATGATTATTTAAATTACTGGGTAGTCAAAAAAATTATTAAAAGAAAGGCGTTTACGTTTTATACGCCATGAAATTATAATGAGATTATCACCTCCTCAGATAAATTCCCAAAATATCAAGCTGTCAATAAATGTGCCGAAACCACATAAAAACACATCTTCGTGTTAAAATAAACAGGTCGATATGAATAGCATGAAATAGATAGATAGATAGAATGAGATAGATAGATAGATAGATAGATAGATAGAAACCATCTGGGATAGATAGATAGATAGATAGATAGATAGATAGATAGAAACCATCTGGGATAGATAGATAGATAGATAGATAGATAGATAGATAGATAGATAGATAGAATGAGATAGATAGATAGATAGATAGATAGAAACCATCTGGGATAGATAGATAGATAGATAGATAGATATTGACAGAATGCGATAGAAAGGTATGAAAAGAATGAAATAGATAGATAGTCAGACAGGTTGATATTCACAGAAAAAGAGAGATGCACACATAATAATAGTTGGTCACTCGTCTACAAGGGCAAATCGACTATGATGAGATTCGAATCCGGGCCTCATGGCCAGAAAGCGAACGTTCTAAACTATATATATATATATATATATATATATATATATATATATATATATATATATATATATATATATATATATATATATATATATATATATATATATATATAAAATTAAAAAAGCTTAAACACTAATATATCATGGAATATTAGTGTTTAAGCCTTTTTATTATATCCTTACTCTGTCCCGGACATTGATTTCTACCTGGATTCTATCCTCTTGGATTTATTTTTTATACAAATATATATGTATGTGTATGTATGTATGCATATATATTTACATATTTCAGATATATGATTGCATATGTATGTGTATATTTACCACTAATATTATCTATCTATCTATATATTGCATCCAGCATGAAACAGCCTGTGGCCTCTGAGTGTTGACTTCAATATTCCCTTTTATATTTATATTTACATACGCTCTATCTCTGATATTGAGAAATTTATCCTGTAAGTATAGCACATTTAAAACTATATTTTTCATATATATATATATATATATATATATATATATATATATATATATATATATATATATATATAAACAGTTGAAACGCAACCTAAACAAAATCAATTATGGAATCTCTACAAATATCCTTAAATGTTTGTAACAGAAGCCATTGGTTTATACCAACGGCTTCCCATACTTCTTGAATTCACTCCCGTGTGGTCATGTGTGACGTCATGAGATGCGGTGCAATTTTTGCTTCTAGCGTCTTATATGCAAGTGTTTATTGTTGCTAGGAAATTATCCATGTAAACAATCACAGACTATCATCACTGTCTTGTCCGGATATTGCTTAACATCTTGTACTGTAATTGACATCTTTGATAATGGCTTATGTAAGCCGAAAGCTTAGATTGGATTAAAAAAATATGTATCAATATTGTGATTTTCTTTCTTCATTTAATGTTAATGTTATTAAGCTTATCAGATGTTATAAAAAGAATTTACATAAAATAAATAGACAACACTTGTCTATATTATTTAATGAAAAATATATATATATATATATATATATATATATATATATATATATATATATTGTCATCTTCAAACCTCTCCTTACCACCGACTAGGGCACTTCGTCTGACTGAAACATCGAAATTGGTAAATTCTGTATCAATGCTGCCAAAGTTAAATTTAAACGTCTAATTCCGACACAAACACAGTATATACATCGAGGTTGAATAAGACTAACGAACTTTTTGTTAGTTGAAATAGATTTATACCCCAGCCATATGACGTAATTTTGTTGTGGACTCTCCCGTCGTATTCGACGTATGAGGGTCAAGCAGCTCAGAACCGGCATCCCGATGCCAGCACATATGATTTGATTATAGTGGAGAAGGCATTTTGCAGAACCATCCACATTTTTTGAAGGGTTGAATACAGAGACCTGGTGCATTACGTGCCACAAGGTCCCCAAACAACCCTCCGCAGGTTTTGAATTTAGAGTTGTCCTTCTCCTGAATGTAACGGAGCCGCTATCCATTACACCACCGTGCCTCCTCCTGTGTAATATATATATATATATATATATATATATATATATATATATATATATATATGCAGGTATGCAGAAGAAGTTGGGTTTCATAATCCGGAGTTCTTAGTATTTTTGTTTTTATTTTTACGAAGACAGTGCTCCATACAGAAGTAGAACTTATATTGTAATAAGCTATCTCTTGGTTTAGGTGTGTTTTTAGGCATGGTCGAATGTTATAACGGACCATGCCTAAAAACACACGTAAACCAAGAGATAGCTTATTCCAAAAATTTCGCTTGAATATGAAACGGGGCTAAACACCTCACTTCAACTTAATTTTAATAATTATCTGGATGGTTTCGGCTCTCGTTTTTGAAACATGATAACTCTTATGTAGCGAAGGAATCATATTTTTAAACAAAAAATATTACAATATATATATATATATATATATATATATATATATATATATATAAAAGTGGACATTGAAGCAACATCTAAAGGCGGCAGTTTCATACTCATACGCAATTTTCAGGCTATCAAACTTTCTGTAGTGAGTTTAATAATAATAATAATGTATATATATATATATATATATATATATATATATATATAATTTATTTATTTTAAGATATTAAGCATGTTAAAAATCACTACATAATGGCAATTATGATTTGGCACTACAAATGTGTCTCTTCGGGCGATGTTAATCTACTGGTGAACGAAATATTTAATATAGGTCATGACACGAAGTTGTCTGCATATAAATCCTAGACAATTTCCTTATGGGCAGATACAGATTGTTGCATTATTTCATAAGTTGTATCGAAGTCTGACGTTCAACTTTCCCAAGAAGTAACAGTGAAAGAGATGGGGAGGTAATTTAACATGCCAACTAGTCATATGCGCGTTCAGCTTCGAACATAAAAAATTGTATTTGATAAGCATTCGAATTATTGTAGGGGCTCTTGGGTGGGAATAATTGTGGATCTTCTTTTGCACTCAGTTTTTTTGTAGTGATTTTAATATATATATATATATATATATATATATATATATATATATATATATTATATACAGAGGTTGGACAAAATAATTGGAACAGTTGCAAAATCCACTCCTATATTTCAAAGACCTATTATATTCAGAACTTTAACTAAAACTTCGTAATTGCAGGTTATATCTATTGTAAATACATTTATTTATCTAATTTACTGTCTTTGTCTTATTTATTTTTTGAATTTAGTAAAATTTAAGCTAAATGCGTGACCTATCTGAGTTCGGAAAAGAGCAAATTTTACGCGCTTGCATGGCAGGAGCTTTGATCACAAAAGTTGCTAAACTGTTTGGTTTTTCAAGAGCTACCATATCAAGAACACTGATGCAATTCGAGATACAGGGTAAGACCTCTAGCAACCGTAGCAATTCGGGCCGGACTTGCAAACTTACTGACAGGGACTGACGTGCATTGAAACGCAATGTGGCAAAAATCATCGGACAAATGCATCCAAAGTGACTGCTGAGTTGAATAACCATCTGAATAGTTCAGTTTCTACTAAAACTGTTCACCGTGAGCTCCCTAAGGCTACATATCATGGAAGAGCCGCTGAGAGGAAACCTCTTCTCTTCACTCGCAACATTCAAAAGAGATTGAAGTGGTGCAGAGATCACAATGCCTGGTCTGCAGACCAATGGAAGCAAGTCATATTCTCAAACAAGTCCAGTTTTTCTCTTTTCTCAACTTCAGGGCGAGTTTATGTGTGGAGGCAGCCCAAAGAAGCTTACAACCCTGACTGCCTTCTTCCAACGGTGAATCATGGAGGTGGATCAGTGATAGTTTGGGCCGCCATATTATGGAAATGTCTCAGTCCAATAGTTGCCCTGCATGGTAGAATCAACAGCAAAGATTACCTGAACATTTTGGGAGATCATGTTCATCCAATGGCCAAGACTTTATTCCCTGATGGTGACTGCATCTTCCAAGACGATAATGGTCCAATATATACCACTCGAGTGGTTAAGAATTGGTAGGAAGAGCATGAAAGTGAGCTAGAACACATGTGGCCTCCCCAATCTCAAGATATCAATATTAGTGAACATTTGTGGTGCATTTTGGAGCAACAAGTTAGGAACCGCTATCCTCCACCGTCGTGTCGTAAAGAGCTGGAGAAGGTTTTAATGGAAGAATGACTGAAAATTCCTCTGGATGAAGTCAGGAAGCTGTATGATTCCATTCCTAGACGTATTAAAGTTGTTTGTGAAACTGGTTTCTTTCTGCGCAGAATCTATACTGGCCCGCAATCAGGTACAAGTCCGTGGCCAGGTGAACGCTGCAATGGACGAATTTCCATGGATTATTCTTATAGCTGTGGAACACGTAGAAGCATATTAACTAATTAAATTAAGAAATTTGATTCATCAGAAAGAGCAAATAAAATTAAAATAAAATAAAAAAACAAAAACATTCAAATTTGCCCGGGTACTGTTGATGTTAATAAACAAAGAAACCGAACATAGAGAAAACGGGAAAAGAAAGCGTTCCTTTAATTAACACACCCTGTGTATTTTCGCCACTTTCAAAACTGCAAACACTTTATAAACAGCACTAAACTGATGCTATTCTGAAACAGAACGCGTTCATGTCGAAGGAAACTGTTTCTTCATCGCGAGAGGAACGTAGGTGGATGAAAAATGCCATTCGCTTCTTTTGTTATCTAACAATGTTTTGCCGATCTGTTGGTGAGAGTCAGTTAAAAGTTAACCCTTGCGCGGCTGTAAAAGACTTCTATTGCACATCTGCAGACGTAAAGTTATTTTAGAAAGAACTCTTCGAGTGAAACAACAACGAACAAGGCCTGCTTTTCGGATTTCAGACTTCACACTGGAATAAAGATACGAGTTGATCGGATTTATTTATTATTATTATTTTTTAAGCGTTTCACCCCAAGCAAGGCGGGAAGCCACTAAGACGCAAGGGGTTACAGAAGATTTGGAGCAAGATCAGATAGGAGTGGTATGAGTTTATGACCCTGGGTTTCACACTTTTAACTAACTCATACCCATGGGTATGATTTAGTTATCGTGGGTTTCACGCTTCCACGAGAAAAGTGCGAAACCCAGGGTCATAAACTCATATCCGTACAACTTATTATGTTAGCTCTATCACTGATATTGAGCGCTTTCCACTAAGTACCGCATATAAAATTATATATATATATATATATATATATATATATATATATATATATATATATATAGTTTGTTTGAACATATATGTCAATCGTCAGGCGACGTCTGTTTCATGCTATGAAACAGTCCTGTCTGACTATGTTGACTTCTATGTTCACTTTTATATTTACACATGCTCTATCTCTGATATTGAGCACTTTATTCCATAAATATAGCACACCTTAAGACTATATTTCTTTTATATATATATATATATATATATATATATATATATATATATATATAAAGAAAGAACAGTAAGATATATAATCAGGTGTTCTTATAGGTATTTTTATTTTTACAAAATAGTGCTCGATGTAAATTTACAGAGCATTAATATTATAAATTAATTGATTTAAAATATGTTTTTTTTTCCGCTACACATTTCTAACCATATTTCAAAAATAGAAGCTAAAAGCCACGAATTTAATTTTTCAATTAAATTAAAGACATTAGTTCCCTTTCATCCTCAAGCGAATTTTGGAGTAACTTTTAAAATTACTGGGTTTTAAAGACACAGCTAAAATCACGTTTCCATGGTTACAGATAAATCTACTTCAACTGGACAAGAGGTGTCTGGGTTTTCCTTATGTCTGCATCATTGTATCGGTTATTAGCTACATTTTGGTAAGGGGTAGGGATGTATTTTTCAATGAAAACTGACATCCGTTGAATGCATGTCGTCTGGATTTTTTTTAAATTTATTGTTAATGGCAAAAAAATTCTTACGGCATTTTTTTCTATTTGTAAATTTAAAGATTTTCGCGGGTGTTCAGATTAGAATACTTTTTATTTAACTACGATTTGAAACATTCTCATTTTTAATTTTTATTATACTTTATTTTTTTTAAGAACAGTTAAATGTATTACAATCCCTTATAGTATGTAGGATTATTTTTACATCAAGTATAAGTATGTATATTAGGGTACATTTTTTTATTTTATTTTATTTTATTTTTTTTATATTATTTAAGTAAAATTTATGACAATGACGTCAAAAATAGTTACTTAATTTCACTGATTTAGTAAACTTTTTTTTTTATATATATATAAACCTAGTAATATGTTGTTTCTCATGTAAGTACAAAGGACATGGGTCATTCAAAAGTTTACATCTGGCATTTCATATTAATTTTATTTTACTATAGGTGTTTTATTGGATTCTTTTAAGTGCGTGTAGTACTAAGTAAAAGAAGTTTAGGTTAGAAATCATTTTATTTAACTACAATTTTAATTACAACTTTAAAATATTTTCATTGTTAGTTTTAATAGACTATATTACTTTATAACAGAAGGAAATGTATTTGAAATTACTTATAGTAAGTAAAATTATTTTTCCATATCAAAGTATATGTATTTTACGATTTTTAAACTTTTATATTTAAATATTATTTAAGTAATATTTATGGCACTTACTGCAAAAATAGCTAATTCATTTCTCAGATTTAGTAAACTTTATTAATTAATTTATTTATTTATTTTAAATATATATAAACTTAGTAATAAAGTTTCATATGTATGTACAAAAGGACATATATATATATATATATATATATATATATATATATATATATATATATATATATATATATATGTATGTATGTATGTATGTATGTATTTATGTATGTATGTATACTGGATAGTTCCCAAATGTTTGTGGTGTTTGATCAGTGAGTTCGAAAAAGATGTAGTACGGGAATTCGCTTCTACTCTTTCAGAGCAGTATTTCATATGAAAGTGATTTTGAATCTATAGAGACAACGTTTGTCTTTGACATTTAATTCAGTAACTACCATTGTCTGATTTATGTTTTCTTTGCGATGAGAACGACTAATTGGCATTAACAAGAGATACGGTGGAAAGAAAAAAGAAGAAGATTAAATTAGTCAATGTTGAAGCCATTTTGCACGTATTTGAGTCTTTGTTTTTGATGAATTCTCAGAAAGGTGATATTGTGTTCTTATCAGTAACAAAATCAGTGCGCATGCGTGAAACTGGGTTGTTGTTACGAGAATTTCAGTCAGTTAATGAGATTTTTTTTCTTTAATAGGAAGTCCGGTTTAAGCGACAAAAGAAAATGAGAGAGAGAGAGAGAGGGGGGAGAGAAAGGGAGAGAGATGGAGAGAGAGATGGAGAGAAATAGGGAGAGATAGGGAGAGAAAGAGGGAGAGACAGAGGGAGATACAGAGAGAGAGGGAGAGCAAGAGCGAGCAAGAGGGAGATAGAGGTAGAGAGAGGGAGTGGGAGAGGGAGGGAGAGAAAGAGGGAGAGAGAAGGAGAAAGAGAGGGAGATAGAGGGAGAGAGAGAGAGTGGAAAAGAGAGAAAGAGGGAGAGAGAGGGAGCGGCAGAGGGAGAGAGAGAAAGAGGGAGAGAGAGAAAGAGGGAGAGAGAGAAAGAGGGAGAGAGAGAAAGAGGGAGAGAGAGAGGGAGATAGAGGGAGAGAGGGAGAGAAAGAAAGAGGGAGAGAAAGAAAGAGAGAGAGAGAAGGAGAGGGAGAGAAAGAAAGAGCAAGTGAGAAAGAGAGGGAGAGAGAGAAAGTGGGAGAGAGATAGAGTGAGAGGTGGAGAGAGGGAGAGAGAGAGGTGGAGAGAGGAAGAGGGAGAGAGGGAGAGAGAGAGAGCGAGAGAGAGGAACGCACACGCTCAAGCACACGAACACACCCATATATGTGTGTGTGTACTTCTGATCAATCAAAATTCGTAAATAATTATATACTACAACATGCCTAACAAGAAGACTCACCTTACATCTGTCTGATCATAAATCAATTATGGCTCATTTAAATACTCATGGAGATCTACCAACCTCTATCCGCAACACACTCATTGATAATACAAGCATAATAGCCCCATCTACATGTAACAATAGGCTAAAATAATGGAAGCATTGTTAATAAAAACATAAAAGCCAACACTCAATACATTATATATATATATATATTCACGAGACATTTCCGCCACACTTCCAATCTTTAAATTTCAACATTTCAACATACAAATACGTATTTATAGACACAACACCACCCGTATACATAGATATGTCATATCCGAAACTGCCCACATATGTTTATATATGTATGAGTCCCGACGGACGACCAGGTGTGTATATGTGGCTGCATACATCGATGTTTGCGTTAGTACGATGACATAAGCGACGAAGTTTCCCCCACCACTTCCACAATAACACCAATACACGCAATCTACATAAATCCAAATTTTTTAAAACATTAATCAGTTTGTCTGACGATCGCTAAAGCGTGAAACCCAGGGTCACAAACTCACATCTATCCAACCATAATATATATATATATATATATATATATATATATATATATATATATAACCGCCCTTCAAGAATCACTTACTAAAAGAAGAAAACAATACCCCTTCCCACAGAATTATCATAAAGCTCATAGCGCATATTCGTACATTGAATACTTTCAACTTCAATGGGGCACACTACCTGCAAGTAAGAGGCTGTGCCATGGGCACCATTGCAGCTCCATCATATGCTACAATAGTCCTGAGAAAATTTGAGGAGACCCATATCTATCCCATCATTGGTGGCGACTGCATATTCTATACAAGATATATCGATGACATATTCTTTGTATACCCGGGCAGCGACGACTAAGTTACCCAATTTCTCATGACCCTAAACACAGTGCACGACTCAGTTCAGTTTCACTATGAATATTCCACAAGATCGGTAACATTTTTAGACACCCGCATTTACATAGACGAAAACAGAAAACTACAAACGACACTACACACTAAAACTACCGACACCTAGAACTATCTACACTTTAAGTCATCCCATCCTAAACACCTCAAAGAGAAACTTTCCTATACACAAACACTTAAACTTAGAAGAATATGTTCCAACAATGAAGAACTAAATAAACACATTGAAAATCTGGAGCATCAATTCACAACACGTGGCTATAAACAACACCTAATCAGGGAACAAATAAATAAAGCAATTTCCACACCGAGAGAAGACACCCTAATGTACAAGATTAAAAATAAACCCAGCCGCATCCCTCTAGTAACCACTTTCAACCCCACTCTGCCTCCACAATCCCAAATAATCAAACGTCGCTGGGAAATGTTGCATCTCAAACCAGACCTAAAAAAACTGCTTGAGGAAACCAACCTTCTTGGATATTGTAGACTTAAGAACCTAAAAGAAATCATTATTAGTAACCACATTTCAGGGGACAAGGTAATCCGTAATAAACAAAAAACAAAAACAACAGGATTTTCCCAACAATGTAACAACGAAAGGAGCTTATGCTGTAACCAGATTAGACACACCAATTCATTCACTAGCTCAGTCACTAAATCTACTTTCAAAATCTACTTTCAACTCTAACTGTAAAAGTCATAACATAATTTACATCCTAGAATGCACACTATACCAGAAACAATATGTGGGAAAATAAGTGGATTCGGCGCATAAAAACGCTCCATCCAGACGGGTTTAATCACAAATTTAACAACACACACACACACACACACACACACACACACATATATATATATATATATAGTGTAACCCGGATATAAGAGACCTGGATATAAGAGAGATTTTCTCTGGTCCCAAATTAGAGCCATACTTACCTAAACAAAATAGACCAAACCCGGATATAAGAGAAACCCTGAGATAAGAGACTTCTCCGGTCCCGACAACTCCACAAATCATTTCTAACCCACACAAAACAGACATGCTTGCAGAGATATTGAGGCCTCACACTTATACACACACCTGTACTAATATACACACTTACGCACATCATACTCACTCCCTCCCTTAGAACCAAATAACACATATTTAACAGAGACACATCTCCTATCAAGAAACCAATAAAACTGTCAAAATAACCAAGGGAATTCAGAGCAGCATGAATCCATCCAGCTCTTACATTAAATAACAACTTAAAATAGACTGTTTGACCAACACAAGGGCTGACCAAAATTCATGCTAAAAATTAAAACTACAGATAAATTTCATTTTCTCCATCAAGTCATTCATTTCTGTAGTTCACTACTACTAAGAAGCAGAATTTTTTTTTCCTGATGGTAGGCATGTTGGCCGAAACTAATCGAGGAATCTAATTGAAATAATAAAAACGAAAGACTATTAATATACAACGCAGTGTGTCTGAAGATTTTAATTTTTTTAATATTTTTTATTGTTCAAAACATATACATATATATATGTATATATAGGCAGCATATCTTCATTAAAGCATGTTTGGTTGAATAATCTGGACATATTATGTCTATTTATTTGTATTCTGATCCTTTCGAATTCCCTTACCGAATTCTTAATGTTGATATTAAATTTATTAAGGAAGCCGCCTTCCTTAAGGAATTTAATATCAACATTAAGAAGCTTATGAAAGAATGCGAGAGGATTAAAATAAAGTAAAAAGACCTAATATGTCCAGATTATTATTATTACTATATATATATATATATATATATATATATATATATATATATATATATATATATATGTAACTTAGCGTTTTAATCTTACTACTCGCTTGTTTTTTTTCTTTGGACTAAAGACTTAAGCACTGGGCGCTTTATTTCACCCTGTTTCTAGTTCTTTCTTTTTTGATTTCCAATTTTTCCCTCGTGTTTCTTGGGTTCCGATTTGTTTTGACATATATACTAGTTGAGCTATCTGAGTTTTTTTTCCAAACGAGTATTACTATTAGTGCGTGTATATATATATATATATATATATATATGTTATAGAAATTTTGGGAGATTTGAATAATTTCACATAATAATCCATCGAGTCTAGATCAAGTATCCTCAACAGAATGCAGAAGGCACTGGACGGCCGTTTCGTTCTTTTTCGTACTCATCAGCAGTGCGCATCCATTACCGAAAATCGAACCCGGACCGTTACGATATATCTAGCCCAGCGGGCCTCGGTGACGAAAAACGAAATTAACTCGGCTCGATATACCGTAGTTGTAACGTAAGAGTCCGAGTTCGATTCTAGGTAGTATATATATATATATATATATATATATATATATATATATATATATATATATATATATATATATATATATATATATATATATATATATATATATATAGTTTATGCAAAACTAGGTAATCCGTATGGGTAGACCCAAGGAGGATGATATCCGGAGAGCTCAATGTAAATTCTGAGCAAATATGTTTGAATAAAAAACAGACCATTTTTTTTTCATTTCAACTTTTGGAAGTAAAGTCTGATAATCCAGTGCCCTTTAAAAGGGCTGTGGTGAAATAATTTATTACATGGAACATTAAAGTGGCCTGTTTTTATTCAAACAAATATATATATATATACATATATATATATTCATACATGTTTCATTAAATAATATATGCAAGTGTTGTCTATTTATTTTATGTAAATTCTTTTCATATCGTCTGATAAGCTTAATAAAACTATCATTAAACGAAGAAAGAAAATCACAATATTGATACATATTTTTTAATCCAATGTTAGCTTTCGGCTTACATATGCCATTATCAAAGATGACAATATATATATATATACCGAGTAATGTTCAATCCTACAAAAATATATTTTCTTATAGTCATAGATTCCTCAATAGATAAGATTGGTTGATACATGTGGACGGTTGAATAACTTTTAATTTTTCGTTCTATCACGATATGCTGCCAATGTTAAGCTCACTTGGAACTAAAAGATTTTCGCCATTTTTATAAAGACTGTGCATAGCTGCTGTGACTCCGAAAAGTTTAGCATGCGTGTATGTGTGAGTAAACATTTAGATATAAATAAAATATATATTTAAAGACGGTATAAATAAAAGACCAAAAGGAAAACTTGTCTTTATTATCGCGTTTCCTTCCCTGAGGAACATTATCATGGTTAAAGTGGAAATTTTATTTTGCAACTTTTATTTATGCACAGAAGTAAAGTGCAGGAAAATTGTCGTTGTTTTTACATTTTAAAATTCGAGAACACTCATAAATATACTTAAAGTAGCTGTGTAAAGTAAGATGAACTATGGAAGCCGCTAAGTAATGTAATTTATTGCCTAATAAACAAAAGTGAGTAAATATTGATGTTGTTGTTGAATACTTATTAACTAATTAATTTGCTACTTTAAACTTGTTATACTAGATCATACCTATTTCTATTGTAAATAGACTCTCCCAAGATAATAAGTAGTAGTAGTAGTAGCAGTCGCCTGTTGGGCTCAGTGGAGTTGAGTGAGTCAGTCGATGTCGGACATTGAAGTATGAACCATCACAACTAGATTGCTGCGTCATTAACTATTATTGCAAGTTCCTAACGTTTTGTACGTCGGACCCTAATTTACTTATTGAAATACAAGCCTCCGCTCTAAAACTACTTTACAACAAAAGTACGCCCATACCTCGTTTTAACGGATGAAAAGGGAAAATCTTCGGTCTGATAATGCCTATTATCCGTATTGACAGACCCTAATTCTGTAGTGATTTATTAAGAATGAAAGACAATAATATAGTACTCTAAATTTAATCAAGCACACAATCCAATCAGGTGTCCTGGGTATGACAATAAACTGCATCCGCGTCCTGGGTAAGACGATAAACTAAGTTCAACAGCAAGGCCCCTGATCAGGAGGTTTTGAGGAGCGTGGAAACACCACTTAATTGCTGACCCGGTGTGGTAGCACCTGTTGGGATCCTATTTATGAGCAAGTAGTTGACCCTCACAACCTGACACAAAACACTATGAAAGTGTAAAAATAGATTTTAATACCAGAAATACGTTTAAGAAAAATTAGTATCAGCAATAAATATTTGAAAAAAGAAAATATAACCAAAAATAATGATCTTGTCAGCATTAAATAACCCATTGAGGTTTATATGTCACAAAACAAAACAAACCAAAACAAACAATCCAATCTGATACTATAAATACTTGTACACTGTAAATATACACCATATTTTGTTACCATTACATTCACGAGAACTTACCAAACCTCCTGCAAAAGGTAGCGAAGGTGAGCGAGAAGGGACTACCAGAAGACAGAATACATGGTCATCAGTAAAAGGATGGGCCCGAAATGCGATTTACATGTTGGGGAACACTAAAATCAAGCAGGTGAGGAAATTTAAATATCTGGGAAATGTTCTGACAAAGGACAGTAAGTGCGATGCTGAGATCCGAAGACGTATTGGGATGGCCTAAGACGCATTCCAAAAACCAGAAAGAGAGAAAGAGAATGAGCGAAAGTAAAAGGGCAACAGAGAGAGAGAGAGAGAGAAAGAGAGAAAAAAATGAAAGAGAGAGAAAATGAAAGGGAGAGAAAGAAAGGAAGAGAGAAAGTGTGAGAGAAACAGACAAAGAAAGAGAGAGAAAGAGAAAGAGAAAGAAAGGAAAAGGGAGAGAGAGAAAGAAAAGAGTGAAAGAGATAGAGATTGAGAGAGAAAGGGGGAGAGAGAGAAGGAGAGAGAGACAGAAAGAGAGAGAGAGAGGGAGAGAGAGAGAGGCAATCAAAAATTCGCAATTATTACAGCCGTTCGTGTTTGTACATCCTAAAAAAAAAACTATACGCAGATGACATAGTACTGATAGCAGACACGGAAAAGAAATGACAAAACCTCCTACAGAAGGTAGCGAAGGAGAGCTAGAAGAAGGGACTAAGCACAAACTACGAGAAGACAGAATGCATGGTCATCAGTAAAATGATGAGCCTGAAATGCGATTTACAAGTCAGAGACACTAAAATCAAGCAGGTGCGGAAGTAGTGATTTATTACGAATGAAAGACAATAATATAGTACTCTAAATTTAATCAAACACACAATCTAATCTGATACTATAAATACGTGTACACTGTAAGTATACACTACCAGCAGCATGGCCCGGCATTGCCCGTGCTTGATTCAAAAATCGTACGACTCATACAGCAATCGCTATCACTTGACTTAAAATATTTTTGCCCTTCCTTGCCTTTAAAGGAGTGCCCTTTTCCGTGCTGATGTTGCTACATGCCTTACTTCTTGCCTATCTCACACTGCGAATTTTTTCTATGCTCTATACTAAACATTAAATCTGTTACGAACAAAGAACTAAACAAAATGAACACAAAACGATCAGCTTTAAAAAAAGGACTCGTAACTGGAAAAACGAATGAAAAGAATGTTAACAACAAATACTTTTTTCACACCCAACCCAGTTCTGCGGAATCAGAATCAACGTTGAGTTTAAGCAAGCGAATGAGCCAATTGGAGTAAAGTGCCATGCAGATTTAAATTTTTCCCAATTATGACGATTGCAGCTATTGATTTTTTTTTGCATGCTAGCATGCTAGTTAACATTCGTGTCAGTCAGCTGTTGGCTCTCACGCTGGCCAATAGAATCTTCCTGCCTATTCGTGGAAGCCAGCTATAGGCTCTCACTCTGGCCAGTAGAAAATGGCCGCAAACTACATGAAAAGTGCCGTAGAAGCATGAAAAAATCGATTATTTCCACTATCGATGGGAATTGGGAAATGCAAAGTCGGTCTTGGCTTTTCCGCTAACTTGGAGCATGTGCATGTAAATTTTCGTGCAAATCCGTCGAAAATTGCGGCCGTGCATTCGTTACACACACACACACACAAACACACACATCCTGCCTTTTATAGATAGAGATTTTGTGCCATTATTAAATACCTGTAACTCGAGAAGTTTAGAATCCGTGTGTGTGAGTAAAAATTCAGATATAAATAAAAAATATATATCTGCTGTCTGAGCTTTTCACTCCCTCCATGATCTTTTTCAGGAAAAACAAAATGAAAGGATACTTTAATCGGGACGGGCTGGTTGGATAGATCAGTGGATAGCGGACAAATGAACACGTTTTGAAATCCAAGTATTTTCTGAAACACGTCATAGCGCACAACAAATGATGTTTGCTCTCGTCCTCTTTGATAAAACGCGTTGCCTCGTGTTGGGATTAAATTTTGCGAAAGAAAATTATATCTCATTGTCTTTCCTTGCCAACTGTTCCCATTAGCGGCAATCCACTTGACAGAAATGTCTTTCTTCCACTGAAAATAGAATACAAAAGAAAAATAATCCGAATAAGCCAGTGGCATTCTCTGGACTCCTTTAAATTGTGAAGGATTGCTGGCTCCAAGCAGCTGTGCCTGGAAATGTCACAAAGGATTTTCAAATTTTAGGAATTGCTATATCCAATCTTAGCATTTTCACTGACAACCAGCTCACCTAAGAGGGCGTCCAAATGATGGGAAGCCATAATTTAGTATCACTAAAATAAATATCGGAACGATAATTTAATTTAGTGTACAGACTCCATTAACAGGTTTGAGCCCTGATCACTGTTTTACCGGTGGGAGATAAAAATGACTTTATACCCAGCCACCAGTTGAACAGTGGTAGAGAAAAATGACTTAATGCCCATCCACCGGTTGATCGGTGGGTAAACGCATGTAACTATTTTTATATCTACCGTGAAACATTATATACCAATTATTTGCGAATTTTGATCCAGGAGCTCTAGCAGAAGGGTTAAAATTGTTCAGGAACGCATCGCTCAAAGAGTTGACCAGAAATTTGGGGCCACCCTCTTGATTTCTAGCATCGACTAAAAATTGAGGTAGCTTTCTCCAAAACTAATTTACAAGCTTACTTCAAACGAGAGGGACTTTCTCTTCCTGAAGGGTTTATCACATAGCTTCCATTTTCAGTTGCATTTTGGAACGGACTCCCGAGAGGGTGTTTCCCTGATCGCTGCAATCTTAATCTCTAAAGGTTTGTACTGATGTACTGCAAGATTGTGTTGAGGTTTGAGGAAAACCTAACTCTACCTGCAACCACGAGGTTTATAGGCAGAATGGGAAAATAGGCGGGAAGTAACAAAAATAACACAGCCTTGCGAAACACAGCAACTTGAGGAACAAAATTACCCAAGGGACCGACTTTACAAGACACCGTGTCTTGCAGACTGCTGATTTTACCCATGTTTTTTATTGGTATGAGGCATATTACAAAAACCTGGATCTTGACCAGATGCAGCGAGGCTCGTATCTAGACATGCCAAACTGTCCCGTTGCTAAGGGGAAAAACCAGGATGTAACTGGTGGTAGCAAACACGTCCTCTTCTGCGTCTGTACTGACGCCCGTTCGCCAGAGACTTGTGATTTAAACGGTATCTATCCTACATATTCTCACAATATGAACCCCTTTTTCCTAGCCAGTACACTCTTACATGTTCATTTAATAACCTTTGACTCCATATACTACTGTTTGGATTTCTCGAAATGGCCTAAAAATTGAGGCTTACTTGCCATATTCAAAACTAATTTCTTCCTGAAACGTTTTCTCATATATTCAATAATAATGATAAGAATACTTCTAAGCTGGGAAGAGGCGCTGAGCTACGGCCTAATCCCCCAGTCGAAACATCTAAGTCATAGGCATCACAAAGAATAATAATAATAAGTTCAAGAAGGAGTTTCAAATGAGTGAAGAAATACAAGTAAAGCACAATACACCGACTGAAGGTGCAAAATACTTAAAAAAGAGAGCAAAGACAAGGGCAACCGACCAGATACAGAAACAATGGCAGGATAAACCGCTTCACGGCCAATACTCTGCCCGTACCAAACAAGCTAACGTAGACAAAACCCGTATCCATCAGTGGCTACGTAGTGCAGGGTTAAAAGTTGAAACTGAACGTTTTATCCTTGCTGCACAGGAGCAATGCTTGCTAACTAGGAATTATCAAGCACATATACTAAAATATTGTTAGCCCAAAATGCAGATTCTGTGATAAATATCCAGAAACGATTGATCATCTTGTATCAGGTTGCACGGTATTGGCACCCACTGAATATAAAAGCCGGTATTAAAGAGTGGGTCAATATCTACATTGGAGAAAATATGCAACTTTTACGGGAAACTGCAAGAAACTGTATATATATATATATATATATATATATATATATATATATATATATATATATGTATACTGACTCTCCGTCGAATTCGATGTATAAAGGTCAAAGCAAATCAGTTCCTAGAAAACTGACAGCCCGACACCAGCACATGAGATTTGATTATAGTGGTGAAGGTTTTGTGCAGGACCATCCATACTATTTACATTATATATATATATATATATATATATATATATATATATATATATATATATATATATATTTATGCAAACTTAGGTAATCCGTATGGGTAGACCAGAGGAGGATGATATACAGAGAGCTCAATGTAAAATTCAGAGCAGATATGTTTGAATAAAAGACAGACCACGTTAAGATTCCATGTAATAAGCTATTTCACCATAACCCCTTTAACAGGGTTCTTGATCATCAGACTTTACCTCCAATATATATATATACTATTTACATTGTTCAGACTATCGTCCTCATCTTTGTTGGCATATTTATTACGACGTTTCGGCCGTTGTATGCTCCAGCCTTCTTCAGGTGGTCAGGTGGTTGGAATGTCGAATTGAACCCTTTATTTCGCTCGCTGGGATAGACTGTTCTAGTTCCACGTGCCATGTCTGATGGAAATCAGTTATCTCTTGTTAATTCCCCTCTCCAAGTTCTTCATCGTTTTAACCAGATATTGAACTCACACTCTTTGGGTCCTGTCACTGGATCTAACTAACGCCTTTATCCACTGCGCCATGTGTCCTTGAGGAAACACACACACACACACACACACACACACACACACACACACACACACACACACACACACACACACACACACACACATATATATATATATATGTATATATGTATGTATTTTAAGGCATTGTTTATGTTTATACCTTCTTTTTATAGATACAAATATTTAAGTAAACTCTCTGTTTATAATAAACAGTATTAACGACATTTACCGACCTGAATGTCCGAGAAATTTTCATAGAAAATATGTGCCATCCGACAGGAATCGAACCTGTATCCTATACGGAACCGTAATATAGCCTGACGTGCTTTTACCGATTGAGCCACAGAGGAACGTTTCGGTTAAAACAAGGTCGATTTTACTGTTTTTAAACTACAATTCTCCATGATTTTCTCTCGTACATTCATATCTGCTCGATGCGTATCCAAATGTCAAAAAATGATGTCACACCTTATGAAATGGACAAAGTCCGACAATTATTTTACCTGGGATTAAAACAAAAACATGTTAAAACTCGCTACACAATAGCAATCGTGTTTCAACACTACATGTTTTTGTGCTAATCTCCGATAATATATATATATATATATATATATATATATATATATATATATATATATATATATATATATATACTGACTTGTTTAAAGATTGTCAAAACTCAGTACAATCCGTGTATGCATCAACCAGCCCTTCATGAATGACTAAAAGTACAACTATGAGCATAAGACAAATACTAGTTGATATTCTACAGTACCCAATGAAAGGAAAGACACAAAACCCTAGAAGCTATTATTATACAAAATAAATACCCCACATTAAATAAAATATCATTAACCACAGAAGAAGGTATATTAAAGAATATATGATATAATTAATGTTATTTTATTATATAAAAAATTATATAAAAATATAAATTTAAATTAAATTAATAAATAATAATTATATCAATATATAAAAATATTAAAAGAATCTTAAAAATGCATAAATTATAAAATAAATAAAATTAAATAAATAAAATAAAGTAGAAAGAATTGCCACATATCTAAAGAAAGTGGACGGAAGGGTTACGGTTAGAGAAATGGTGAATAGCACACGCAACACCAGTGCCAGCGTCACCAAGGACGGCGAACCACTGAAGGAAGTAGACCAGCTTTAAATACATGGGAGAAAACGCTGTCAAAAGATGGCAACTCCAACGCAGAAATCCTCAGACGTATCGCCAAATTCACAGCACCGATGGTCAGACTGGAATGGATGTAGGAGAACAATACATGAATGTATACCAAGTTCAAGCTCTGCAAATCACTGATCGTCTCCACCCTTCTGTACGGGTAAGAAACTTGGAGACTCCTGCTTGAGGCAGAGAATAGTCATCCAGACGTTCGAGAACAAATACTTGAGAAAGCACCCCCGTATCTCCTTTTGGGAGCACAAAATCAATGACTATGTATGGGGAAAGGTTAAAAGTCTCGTGGGTCGTCAGGAATATCTCCTCACACCTATTAAGCATCGGAAGATATCATAGTTTGAAAACGTCTCACGGCATAACAACTTCTGTAAGACCATCATGCAAGGCACTGTCGAAGGAGGATGCAAGTATCGTTTCGCAGACGATATTGACTTATGGCGGGAAGTAACAGTGAGCTGCAAGACTTGACCAACAAAATCGTTGAAAGAGCCGACTCATATGTGTTGGGATTTTTGGGTACTAGTGAGCTAGCCAAAATGAGCTGACTCATTTTATAGTTCACCAATAGAAGGGTTAACCAATCAGAAAGCTCAAAATATTCAATGCGACGTGTATAAAGACAGCCATTTTGTTTTTTTCTCTCAAAATATCTTCACTGCCAACCCGATATCGAAGACTTAAAAAATTACTTAACAGCTGCTATTTTCTCCGAATCTACACTGCCAACCTCTGATATTGAAGACATTACGGACTTCACTGGATTCCATATTCAGAGACTGCGGCAAACATTGTCAACAATATGGAATGGAACTCAACACAGAGAAATGCAAAGTAATGGTTGAACAGCACAAGCAGCACCAGTGCCAGCGTCACCATGGGAAGCGGACCACTGGAGGAAGTGTCCAGCTTTAAATGCGAGGGAGAAACCCTGTCAAAAGATGGCCGACGCAAGTCATAAATCCTCACACGGAACGCCACATTCACAGCAACGATGGCGAGACTAAAAAGGATGTGGAAGAGCAACACTAGCTTTTATACCAAGTTCAAGCGCTACACATTGCTGATCGTATCCACACACCTTTACGAGTGAGAGTCTTCTACACTTCCGTCTGAGCAGAAAAACGTGATTCAGGCTTTCGAGAACAAATACTTGAGAAAGGACCTCTGCATCTTCTGCTGGAATCACAAATCCAAACTCTTATGAGCACAAGCAGCACCAGTGTCATCGTCACCATAAACGGCGAACCACTGGAGGAAGTGTCCAGCTTCAAATGCGAAGGAGCAACACTGTCAAAAGATGGCCCCTACAAGTCAGAAATCCTCACACGGATCGCCATACTCACAGCAGCAATGGCGAAACTAAGAAGAACGTGGAAGTACAACACCAAGTT